TATAGAAGAGCAGTAGCTACCCCTATGGTCATGTGCCTTCCACAGCTCATTCGTTCATTCAGCAGATGCCACTTCAACACTCACTAGTCAGGCATTGCACTAGACGGGTGGTGGGGTGGTGGGGTAGGAGCGGACATGCTGCGGAGCCTTGCCCTCGTGCAAGAACAGCACTTTCTCTACCAGCTGCTTTAACTCTTGAGCATCCCTTACTTTGCCTAAAAAATGGGAAGCTACTGCTCTCTGAAGATTGTGAGAAATAACTGAGATAGCTTAGCGGACACAGTTAATATGTCACCTCTATCACCCTGCCCACTCAGAGGAACATGAAGAAAGTTCCTCCGTGCACCTGGCTTCTTGCATCTCTCTGCCTGAGGGCTTCTCTGGCTGCTAGGCACTGAGGCAGCCCTGGGAGGCCACAACTGCAGGGAGTTGGTGCACTGGGAGCAAGCCTCAAGTCCCTGAGGGACAACGGGTGTTGGTGTATAAGTGCCCCTTGGTGGGACGATTCTGAGGGGCCGTTCTGCCGCCTTTTGGCAGGACCTCAACTGATGAGCTCCAGCCCCACCCTGGGGTAACTTGTCCATTCAACACATGCTTTTCTAGCTGTCCTCCCCGACTCCCTCACCATGCTTCCCTAAATCACCTCCCATGTAAACTTCTTGGACTGAAATCTGTGCTCAGAGTCAGCTATGTAGCAAACCCAGCCTGGAACAGATGACAAAAACCTGGCACTCAGCAGACATTCAGCAAATGTCATTTGCCTCCATGCTCACTTTCACTTTTACAGCATCAGATGTCTTTGAAAATACAGTCCAGACTCCAGGTGAACCACCAGTGGCCCATCGGCATCATCCAGGAGCAGGTGTGGGCCAGTGCCTGGGGTGCAGGAAGCGGGAGGGGAATTAGGGCACAGGGCCTTGGGCACTTATTGTCAGAAGCCAGGTTAATCTCTGCACAGCACTATATAGTTATAAAGGTATTTTCTTGCCTTCCAGGTTCTGCATTCCATTTTCCATTCCAATGTTCCAAATTGCATGCTCTGACTCAGGGTTCTATGTTCAACATATTAGGCTTCAAGCCCAAATTCTATGTTCCTTGTTACAAACACACCCACCATCACCTCCTCCCTCTCCTCCTTCCTGATTCCCTTGTGGTCAAACAGGCTAGAGGTGAAGTTCCCTCGCATCCAGGTGGAGGAGCTGATGCAGGCTCACCTACTCTCCAGGCTGGCCAGTGTGGCCTACTATCCAGCCCACTGTGCCTACCTGGCTGCAGTGCTAAGTGCCGAGATCTGGGATCTGGTCAAGGCTGTTACCTCACCTCATTATAGGCTAGCGTGCTCTGTCAACATCAGGACCAAAGGGCAGGATGACTTGGTGGTCTCTAGCCAGAGTCTGTGGAAACTGCACACAGATAGCTTTGCCACCTCCAAGTATGTGAACCCCACACTCTTCTGGGTGGTGCTGGTACATGCCGTCTATTTGAAATGAGCCCTGTGGGATGAGAGGTCTGGGACCCACGTGGCGCCCCATACTAGAGCCTGGCCCTAAAAACTCAACCCCTAGCCCACCAGTCGGTGACTTGTCAAAGCAGCGCCCACCCAGGCAAGGCTGGCAGCTTCTACAACTCATGGTCAATTAAAAGAAAATGAGTACGATGCACCTACATTTATACCTCCTCAGACCACACACACCGTTGAATGCCTTTGCCTCTGGCTGGAATCATGTCAACCTCGTGCAGCTCCCAGCTGGCTGTACAGATCAGAAGCTCTCAGGGGCAGTTATCCATGTCTTTGATTAATAAAAAATGGGAGATAAATGAATAATGACTTAATGCATGCAATTTGGGATCAAAATCTTCCAAAGCATGGGAAAAATAACAAACGGGAGTTCTTGATAGTGAAAAGTTTGAGAACAGGTGCTGTCCTCAGGCCAGTCATGAGCCAGGCACCACTGGGAAGGGCCTCCAGGGAGAGAAGTGGACTGGTTTCTCATGCTGCGCCTGGGCATCACACGTTTTCCTCGCCCTCACACAACCCTGGAGACATGCTACCATCCCCATTCTGTAGACGAGTAAACTGAGATAGGCCAAGTAACTTGCCCTGGATACTTAACAGAATCAGTAAAGAGATCTCAACCTAGGTCATTTAAAAAGGAACGAAATAAAGCAAAAAAAGAAGGAAAAAGGAGTCCCAAACTGTGGTGTCTAGAAAGTCACTCTCATTTGAGTTTATGAGGAAAAGAAAAGGGACAAGTAGAGGGAACAGCATGTAAGCTAGGAATGCTGGGCATTGTTTACAACTATTACTGTTGTAACTAATACAACTATTACTGTTGTATCCAGAGCAGGGCTGGCACATAGTAGGTGCTCACAAATTGTTTCAAATGAGACACCTGTAGGCATAAAGGGGCATAGCCTATCCTGAGGTCGGGGAGAAGCAATGAATATTTTCAAGCCTCTAGTTTTTGAAGCGCTTTGAGTAGATCTATTTAACCTTATTTTTTTAAATTATTGAAATATTTCAAACACACAAAAAAGGTAGAACAGAATAAAGCAGAATAATGAACTCATCAGATTCGCCAGTGTTCATATTTTGCCATATTTATTTCAAATATATTTATAATAAAGTGACACAGATAAAAGACCCCCCCTCACCCTATCTTATCCCCTTCCCTGCATCCCCAGAGGTTCCTTGAAGTTGGTGGATTTCCTTCCTGAGCATTTGGCATTATTCTGTGCTTTTAAACTCTCCAAATATGGGTATCTCACTGTATCTTTCCTTTTAGAAATTGCTTTTCACTCAATTATCACGTTTTTAGGATTTAGTCTATGTTGATACATGTAGACCTGGTTCATTCATTTTAACTGGTGTATGGTATTCTGCTGCATGAATCTCTATAGAACAGAACATTTCTCCATTCTCTTTATTGATGGACAGATAGTTTTTATTCTTTGCTATTTTTAAACAGTGCAGCAATGAAAATCTTTATATACATCTCCTGGTGCACTCATGTGCCACATATACACATTATAATAACTGCAGCATGCTGGAATTTGTGTACCCCTACATGACCTTGGAGAATTGCTTAATGTCTTAGAAGTTTAGTTTCCTTATCAGTAAACTGGGGTAATAGAATAGCATGCATTTTGGTGATGATTATGTGCTTCAATATAGATGAAAAGCATTTTTCAACTTGTAAAGTACACCATGAACATTAGTCGTTTATTATTCAGGAATTCGACATCGATGTACTGAGTACTCTCCCACACTGGGGACATGATGAACAGGCCCCAGTACAGGGCCTTGATGTACTCACATACAAAGGAGACAGCCCGGCAGGTTCAGCACAAGACTGCTGACTACCTAGCCTGGAGCAGCAGAGGCAGGCAAGGCTTCCAAGAGGAAGTGACACTCAGCTAAGCCCTCGAAAGACAGAGGCAAAGGTGAGTGTAAGACAGGAAGGAAGCAGAGGGAGCAGCAAATGTGAAGGGACTGACTGATGCAAGAAAACAAGTTTGTAACATAAGAGTTAAAGGCAAGGGGCCAGTAACATAAAATAAGCCTAGAAGGTAAACAGAGCTGAGAGGCTGTATCCTAAGGGTAGTCGGGAGCCATTGAAGGATCTTAAGCAAGAGAGAGTGACAGACATGTTAGAAAAAGTGGTCTGAATAAGCTCTGGAGATCTGCTCTACAACACTGTATCTATAGTCAACAGTAATGTATTATACACTTAAAAATGTGTTAAGAGGATAGATCTCACATTGTGTTCTTACCACAGGCACATAAAAAAAATCGGTCTGGCTACAGTCTGTGTGGGGGGTGTGGGGGGAGAGGCTGGAGGCTGGGAGACCAATGAGGGGAATACTCAAGTGGCGTAGGCAAAACACGGTGAGGGCTGGACTAAGGCAGCTGTCATTTGTGTACCATCACCCAGATAGCACACCTCCCACAACATGTGGCGGGGGCATTATCAGGAGAGGTGGCGGCAATGCAATGGGCCAGCTGAGAGGAGCCTCACCACCAATTCAATGAGGTCTGTCCTCACACATCCCAACCCGTCCTCTTCTTGGGCTCACTTGGCGTCCTGCGAGGCACAGCACTCAGCCACAGGTTCTCAAGTTTCTGGATAATATGAGCCCTCTGGCATCTTGGCACCAAAGATGTGGCTGAGTCCCCCCACCAATGTGCCATGATAAGAGACCCCACCAGTATCTGGCTACACAGATCCCACATGGAGTGATGTGAAGTAGAGGGCGACCTTATAGGACAAGAGGGGCTGGTTATCACTGTGTGACCTTGTCTGATACCTAAACGCCAAGTATCTAAAAGGGGACAAGGATAGATACACAAGAACCGCCCCAGACTTCCCACCCCTTAAGTAGGGACCCCCTATCACCCTTATGAGTGAGGATATTGCCTTTGAAGCCTCTTTCCTCAGTGCAGAGACGTGTTCCTGGTCCTCTCCTAGGATAGACCCTCTCCTTAACTTCCACTCTCCATATTTCCTTTTCTAGAACACTCATTCATTTCAAAATTACTGGTTTAATTTTAGCCCTCCTTTTTGGGCTGTAAGTTCCCCAGTGGAGCTTACTAGAACTGTATCTGCCTTGTTCACTGTTATTTCCTTGGTGCCCAGAAGAGAGTCTGGCTCCTGACTGGCCCTGCAGGAGTATCTGTGAGGAGAGTCACTAGGATGTGCTGAGACAGAGGAAGGTGTAGAGGAAGACGCCTGGACTTCCAAGGCCCTGAGAAGGAAATGTGTCTTGCCCAAGTCACAGGCGAGGCCGAAAGAAATCACAGTTCCTGCTGGGACCTCTGACTCAGAGCAGGGTCTTCCCACACATGACACTGAGAAAAAGCCTCTGCAATAGACTAGCATTTCCCAAAGCACACTCCATGGCACGCTGATCTCAAAAGATTCTAGTAGATAAAAATGTCGTACAGTTAAATAAGCTTGGGAAACTCTGAGTTAAAGAATATGAAAAAAGTTACTTTACCGTTGGACTTTTCAGAGCTTTTAATATACTTGTGTACATGATTCTTGACAAAGGTCATATGCAATATTCCCCACATCTATTTAACCATGGAATTCTGCATGTGAAATAGTGTGAAACCTTTGGCATCATCCCCTCAACTGCTTGTCATGATTATTTACTGAACATGGAACAGCAGAGATTTGTCGCAACTTTTTGGGAGGTACAGGTAAACCCTTTTTCACAAATGAAAATTAATCCAAGCCCCAAGATATAAATAGGATAAAAATAAAACTGCTCTGGTTGGTGCAGGGACCTGGAGGTCCCATCTGGCCATCCCTTCACAGCTGCTATGCCAGGAACCCTTGTGTCCTGTGGAGCCTAGTTTAAAATTCATGCAGACAGAACTCTGAGCACAAAGCTGACATCAGGAGACCTGACTTCTAGTGCTGGCCCTGCCATGGACTGTTTTACCTTGGGCAGGTCACTTAGCCTCACTGATACAATGAATCTGGCAGACTGGATGCTCTCTGGAGTCCTGAACGTATCATCTCTGATACAATGAGGACTGTGATTCTATGACCGTAAAATTCTAAGTCTATGATTCTATGGTTCTCTCACTCTGAGATTCCAAGACTTAATATTCTGATTCTGGGACTGACTGCCTATAGCCAGCCTGAGCTGGTGCAGCACACTGGAGCCCAGGCTGCGAAAAGCAGACTTCATTAACTGCAGTGCGCTGCCCAGAAGTGCTGGCCTCCCTGGAGAGGGCATGCTTCATGCAGGATGGAGAAGGCGGGGTGTAGAGGGGGTGGGTGGATCACAAATCAGTAGCCACTCAGTGGGCAGAGCAGGGAGAAGGACCCAGGTCTCCTGACTCCTGCTCTATCTTTAGATCTCCATAGCAACCGTAGCCAGGGTGCCAGAGCTGAAGGAGAGGGCTGAGCTGGCTGCCTGCAGGAGGGAGGGGTATTTGAGTCTGTGGTTCTTTTGCTAGAAAAAGGACTCTAGGCTGGGCTCTTGAGCCAAGGAACAGAGACTCAGAGTGATGTGTTTGTGGCAGGAAAGGCCTAGGGCCAATATGTAACAGAGGTAATCCAAGGCCCCACCTCCCTCTGAGAACGTGGTCAGGTCACAGCACCCAAGACCTTCATCGTGTCAGGCTCATGGCACTGGAGGTACCTAAGGCAAGTTCCTCCTCCAGAAATCTCTCAGCCACTCCTGTGGTCATTCCCTGAACACTTAGTGAGCACCTCACCTGAGCCAGCAGTGAGGCCACACAAGGGTACCCAGTCTCTAGGGGAAACAGGCTGTGAAATGGACATTACAGGGCAGGGTCCAACAGGAGCCCCACACAAGCCCTCTGACCTGAGGAACCAGGGAAGCTCCTCCAGCCCCTTCTCCTGCCAACTCCTTGGTGCAGTCCTCTCTCATTTCCAGGCTGGTTGCTCTCCCCAGACTCCTGCAGCCCTGTTTTCCCTCTGCGCAGCAGGACTCCGGTCTGAGGGAGTCAGTAACTCCATGGGGCAGATGAGGGATGGAGGTGTGAAGAGGCAAAGACACCTGTCCAAAGTCACCTGGCAAGTTAGTGGTGGTCTTTTGTCCACATCTTCTGATTCCAGTCTGTGCCTCTTCCTGTGTCCTGTTGGCAGGCCCCTGGCCTGGACTTTGGAAAGCAGGCCAGGCCTAGAAGAGGAAGTAGGAGTCCTCAGCCAGGCCTGCGTGTAGCAAATACCTGGCCATATCTTTGGTAAACTCGGCTGAGCCACAGACCAATGCAAACGGCTCTCTCCGACAGGAGCGAACCAGCTCTTCAATCAGGTCCTGGGTCAGGCGGCCGAACCAGGTCTTCTCTCGGTAACTCCAGGGAAGCTGCTCCAGGGAGTTCTCCTGGGATAATGAAAAAGAGCAGGGGTGACTTCTGGGGGGTCCTCAAAGTTCACGTAGCTAGCTCTCCTCTGCCAAATGAAGAAACTAAGGCAGAGGGAGTGAGAAGACGACCTTCACCTATTCCTACTGAGAGCCAGGTACTTCCTCACTCTGGGACTCGGATCACAGTCACGACCAGCCTGTGATGAGTAGTTGTCCTCCTACAATAGTGAAGGCACAGGGAGGAGAGCTGTCCCTCAGGACGCACAATGAGGCAGGGGCAGCAGCAGAACTAGGATTTGGTCCCCAGTTTCTCACTGCCTCCGGGGGACCGCTGCACCTGTCACTTTGGGTGTAATGTTTTCTCCCCGTGACTGTGGGTCTCCCAGTATCTTTCCAAGGTTGTCTATCACCATTACCCTTGAAGTATAACGTTTGTTCATTTGTTTAACCTGTTGCTTTAACAGATGTTTACTGAGTGGTTACTCTGTGCCTGGCACTGTGCTAGACTCTGGGGACATGGCAGCTGCTTTAAACAAACAAGGCTCTTGGCCTCACCCTGCCTAATTCAGGCAGCGGTGCCTTAACCAAGAGAGGAGTCTATTTCTCTCACATAAAAAGGCTAGAGGTAGTTCTGGGGGTGTACAGTACTCGAGGGACCCAGGTCCCTTCTCTCTTTCAGCTTGTGGCTTTCATCCCCCAAGTCACCAAAGAAAGGCTCTATCGCCAGCTGACTTGGAGGAATTTCTCTTAAGTAAACATTTTATTGAAGTATTACATATAGAAGATTGTAGAAATTAAGTATATATAGTTTGAAGAACTTTAACAAAAAGAAGAAACTATGTAATCAGCACCCAAAACAAACCTCCCCTCCCCCCTTACAGAATAGCACTATTCAGACTTCTGCAGACTCCATTACCACAAGCTTCTAGATCCTGACACTAACTAGAGGCAGGATGGAGATGGCGGCTGGGGTTGGAATCGGAGCTTTGCTGCCACTTCAGGGCTGAGTGACAGTGACCTCTCGGAGCTACTATGATGAGTGTAGGGTGATGGGGAAACCCTGGGAGAGGTTCTGTGGGTGCAGGTCTCTAATCTCAGGTGCACTCACCAGGCTTTGGAGCTCACCTCGCAGAGCCTGTCTGACCCCGAAGGCCCTCTGAGGACAGCACCATGGTGCTGACAGGGGATCCTCTGTGATGACCTGGATCTTCCTGAGGCTCCCTCCATGCTCTGACGCATCCCATGGGCCCATGAGGGCAGAGACCAGCAGGGCCCTTTGGCCTCACCTCTCCTTCTCACTGCCCGATACCCTCAGGCCAGTTAGGTTCAGTAGAGCCCACTCCAACTGCCTCAGGAGAGATGCGTTGGGTCTGGCTGCTGCTCAGGTGGGGAGGGGACCCGTAAACAGTGACAGTGCAGTGGGGTGGGTGCTGTGAAAAAGGCAAGCCCAGGCTGCAACAGTAAACACAAACACACCATCCTGGGGGCTCTGGGAAAGCTTCCAGGATAGAATTACACCTCAGCAGAGAGATGTGGGGGATGAGTCGGTGTCAGGTGAAGAAGTGAGGAAAAGTGCTCCTTGGCAAGGCAATGGTGTGAGGAAAGGCCCAGCAACCAGAAAAGCAGAGCACTTATAGCCACAAGCAGACCAGAGACACCAGAACACAGCACGCAGGGAGGATGGGCTAGGAGACAAGGCAACAGAGGGCTGGCACAGCCATGAGGGCGTGGACATCGTCCTAAGAGCAGTGGGGCCCGGGGAAGGGCTGGATACAGGGAGGTGGTGTGGTCAGAGCTGCCCTTCCAGCTACAGGATGGAAGACAAATTGACAGGGGATGGCTGGAGGAAGGAGCTGCTTGAGGATGCTGTCACTGAGGTTCAGGCAGGAGGGGAAGCACCCTGACTGGAGGGAGCACAGACAGACAGGCACCTCTCACTCCATTGACCCTACCATCGACAGCCAGACCACATGCCTGCCCCACCCCAGGCCACTGGCATCATCAAAGCCCCAGCTCAGGAGTGAAGGCCCTCTATTACTGGTGAACTTAAACTCTACCTTCAAGCCCAGGCTTAGATGCCATTTCCTCTGTGAAGCCCTCCCTGCTTGCTGCAGCATCCTGAACACACACGCTCAGCAGCACCCATCCATTTGCTACCTTACACTAACAAGCAGTTAAGAGCATGGACACTGGTGCAGGACCACCTGGGTCCATACTAGACTCTACCAACTCACTGTGCTACCTTAGACAAAGTTCTTAAATCTCCCTGTGCCTCAGTTTCCACATCTGTACAATGGGCATTGTGGCAATACAAACCTCCTAAGACTGTGGTGGAGTTACATGAGTTAACACACACAAAGTGCTCAGAACACTGCCAGGCACAGAGAAAGTGCTCAATGAGAGGGAGTCACTGTCCGCCATCCCAGTGGCTATCTCTGGAGGGCGAGTGCCTGGAGGGCAGGGAGCAGGTCATCTTCAGTTTTGTATCTCAGGCACCTGGTACATGGCTGGGGAAAAGGAAAGCTGGCCAACAGCCAGGGCACCTCTGCCAGGTGCCTGCCTCCTGCCCCTCCTCCCACCTTCCTTGACCAGCCCTGGGGCAGGGCTGAGTGTGCTGCCTGACAGCAGTGGCCGTTCCCACAGCCCCACTCCTATTCAGGCTGCACACTGGCCTTCATGTTCACCAAGCATGACCCTTTCGATGACTGTGCCCCACAGACAGGTCCGCAGACCCTGGCCCCTGGGGAATCCCAGAATCTTTGGTGTTGGGAAGGGAAAGCAGTTTTCTGAACAACCCCCCCCCCACACACACACACACAATGTCAAGGATCACATATGTCTTTAGGGACACTCTAAAGCTGCCTCAAAGAGGAAACTGATGAGAAGAGTGCTCCAAAGTACAGGGCAACGAAGCTGACCCTGAGCAACAGAGAATGGGTGGCGGGGAGTACCCCTAGCAGGGACCCTCAACCTAGGGGGTGCAGGAAAGAGGAATAAAAGCTACTGAGCAGGGGAAGGAAGGTGAACGAAAAGAGCTGAGGGCCTAGCTTGAGATAAATGGCATGATGCCTCCCCACCATGCCATGGTCCAGAGGGGAGGGCCTGGGAAGGCCTGAGTGAGTGGAAAGGATGGGGAATCAGAGGGAAGAGGAGTCAGAAGGCAGAGTCGCTTCCAGCTAGAGTATCTGCAACCTGGGGAGTTGGAAAGCAGCTTTCCTCTCATGCAGGACAAAGCGATGTGGCAGGGACTCTAATAAATGCAATGAACTTGCATCCAGTTTACTCGACCAATCATTGATGGAGGGAGTGCCTACCTTGTGCCTGGCACTGTGCAAAGCACTGCAGAGAGCGCGGTGATCTGGACACATGGTCCCTGCCTCAAGTTGCTTATCCTGGAGGACGTCTTTGTCCTGGCCCATTGACTCCACATATAATGGATGATGCCAGAGGGTGGATGACAGGCCGGACACATGGTCCCTGCCTCAAAGAACTTATCCTGGAGGATGTCTTTGTCCTGGCCCATTGACTCCACAACCAGGCCGCCTGCCCATATAATGGATGATGCCAGAGGGTGGATGACAGGCAGCAAAGCATGGTGGGTGAGAGCTGGAGCTCTGGAATCAGACAGCCCCAGCTCAAATCCTGTCTTCATCCCATTTATCAGTATGACACTAGCTGGCACTTCACCTTTCTGAGTGTGTTTCATCATCTGCACAATGAACATGACAATACTTGCCTTCCTTGCCAGGCACGTGGTTCCAACAGTGGCAGGGATTATTATTATAGCATAAAGTAGAGAGGCTACAGCAGGTCATCAGGACAAGTGCAAGAGGACAGCAGAGTCTCAATCACGGAAAGGAGTCACTACCTTGGGCTTACCTGGCTAAGTACAAAGAAGGTACGAACGTTCCAGAAACGGGCTTGCTCCTGGAGGAAGGTTTTCAGGTAGATGCCCTCAAAAGTCTTGAAGCAGCTGACCAGGGTGACAAAAGTCTCATCATCTGCATTGTCTGTGATGCTGTGTAGGATGGGCACCATGGGGGCCAGGCCGGTGCCCGAAGCCAGCATGAGGAGCTCACCGTACTGGGGAATAGGATGGGTATGTGACCGGGGTGGAGCGGGGAGTCTCACCCTACCCATCCACTACAGGGCCTTTTCTCGGGCTTGCCTGAACCAGGTGTCCCACCCATCTGAGTTCTCCTCTCTACATTCTCCAGGAAACCATCCTTGCTTGTGAAAGTCTGTAGCTTGTGAGATCTGTGTAACAGAAATCATGGACTCTGGGGGCTGAAAGGGAACATAAGGGTATACTCCATCCTATAAGTGGCTTGGTTGCCTTCTAAAGCATCCTCACAGGGCCCTGTTTACATACTTCTGCTGATAGCCCACTACCTTTCAAGGCAGTTTGCTCTATTCTGGACTAACTCCCATTGCCAGGGTCATCTTCCCACCTCACAATGAGCTGAAACCTGCTCTCAGCAAAGCCTTGCCCACCGACCCCCATGCCCTCTGGGCTACTGCTTCTGCCCCCGGGCAGCCCTGTAAAGATCTGAGGACCCCGACTTGGACCCCTCAGTCCTCCCTAGACTAAATGAGATACTATACATAAGTACCTAGCACAGTGCTGGCACAGAAGACCCAATAAAAGTGAGTTTCCACCCCAATGGGACCCAGTTCCATCAATCTCTCCTCGCTGAACCCATTTCCTGGCTCTAGGCCTCTTAAAGAGGGGAAATCTTCTTTAAGGGCAGTGCCTTGAAGGTTAGTGCCTGCCCATGCAGTGTGGTATTTACCGCCCTCATTCTAGAGATTAGGCCTCTCTGAATACAGTTGGGGTTTTCACTAGCTCTACTGACAGCCCCTGCACACCATGCTGCTCCAGGAAGTGCATAAAACACTTCCTGGAGTATCAAGATTCATACAGATCTGAGTATAAATCCTTAGCCATAAGATCTAGACAAGTCCTTTCACCTCTCTGAGCCTCAGTTTCTTTACTGGTAAAAAAATAATAGCACTTCCTCATAATAGCACCTATCTCAGAATTGTCGTGAGGATTAAATAAAAGGCCATGAAGTGCCTGGTGGAGCTTGGGGCTTAACAATTAGATTCCTTCCCCTCACTGAGCCCCTACTGCCAGCCATGCCATCCAGCCCTATATTGGTGCTCTCTTTAGCCTGCTGTGCTCCTTGCTCTTCAGCCTGTCGTGCTCCTCCTTCTCCTCCCATCACTGCTCAGGCTCTCCTCTGGGAAGCATTCCCTGAGCCATGGGTAGGGGTCCTTCCCTCTGTTCCCATAGCACTGGTCATGCTGAGTTGTCATCACCTGTTTGTGTGTCTATTTCTCCATCAGACTGAACTTCCGAAGGACAGGGGCCTCGTCTGTCCTGTCTCTGGGCTCCCAGGGTCCAGCACAGGCCTGGCCCTAAGTGGATACCCGGGAATGAATGCACAAACAGATGCTAATGTGCCCTCTGGGCTGACGCGATGCTCACCTATAAGAAAGATGACCACGGAGCAGCAGGGCAGGGTGGGAAGAGGGCCGGAGCACTCCAGCCTCCTCGGAGGGGCAGAGCCTAGCCTAGCCACCACCAGGGGCCAGTGTCACTATGTGAGACCCCATTTCTTCTTCCTCACTGCTGGGCCCCACGAACTGCCTAGATAAGAAGTGCAGGGGCTTTCGTGTGGTGTTCTGTGGATACAGAGGTGCAGCCACAAGCCATGAAGAGGCTCCACATGGAAAAGGTGGTCAAGATAACATTCGTCAAGTGCCCCTCAAGGTTGGGAGGAAACAGGAATAATTCCTAGTGTCTGCCCTCGAGGGCCTGGGGGACACAGGGACACCCTCAGCTAAAATGCAAGGCAGAGCATGGTTAGCACTAGAAGGCTATTGTAGAAAAATATTATATGCACACCACATATCTACAAAATGGGGGTAGCAGTATGTAGGAGCTGTTGTGAGAATTAAATGAGTTACTACATAGTAAGTGCTAAAATCACAGCCTGGCACAGAGGCGGTGCAATATACATGTTTGATATTATACACACATACGTGCACGCTTGTATAAACACCCATGTGTGGAAGAGAATTTGGAAGGATATATGCCAAGGTAGTAAGACTGGCATGTCTGGGTGGATAGCCTATAGGTGTTCTTTACTTCCTTCTTTTTCTGTCTCTCTATATCTGCTCATTTTGGGGGTAGTGAAATGTACGGCATTTGTAATAAAGGAAAAAACAATAAAAGCTATTTTTAAAGTAAACAAATAGGAATGACTCATTTTTTCCATTTGTTTAGCTTTGTTTTCCTAATTATAAAGGTAATAGGTGTTCGTTGTGGATAATTTGAAAAATATAATGAAGAAAATAAAAAACACCCATTATTCCATCATCCAGAGCTGCTAACATTTCATTGCATCTTCTTTTCATATTTTTTCCTGTGTACTTTAACTTAGTTTCCAAGCCTGTTGTATATTCAATTTTGCACCTAGTGTTTGTCACTTGATCTTATTGTATAAACATATAACATCATTTATGTACTTAACTTAAAAATCCAGGATATTCTTTCAAGTATCTGTAACCCAGTGCACTTAACTGTCCCCCTGTTGTTCAGTTATCTCCAATTTCTTGCTATTATAAATAAAGCTGCAATAAGCATGTGCAAACAAGTTGGTATTTTGGATTCTTTCCATAGGATAGACTTCCAGAAATGGAATTACTGGGTCCAAAGATTTGAAGATTTTTAAGACTCTCAGTACATACTGCCAAACTGCTTTCCAGATATGCACCAACTGATGAGAAATTACTACTTTTTCCTGGGAACATCAGGGAAGGCTTTGAACAAAGCATGAAGATGAAGAAGAGCTTCCCAAGCAGGGAGACTTGGGGCATACTTAGGGGGAGGTCTCTATAGTCTTATAACTGGACTGTGAATCTAGAAAGGTATCTGAGGGTGAGAAAGGATAGGCGCCCTACACGCCGAGCACATGAGTCTGGATTTTCTAAGCAATGGGCAGCCAAGGATACTCCTGGGATTGGGTTTGGGCTCAGGAAGAATGGTCCAGTGAGATTCTACAACTTGAAATCTAAAACTACAATCCTGAAGGCTAAGCTGGGAGGGGTCTCCTGAGGACTCAGTGTGCTGGCACTGACCTGGTTTGGTTTATAGGAAAAGCCTCCGAAAGGTCCTCTCCAGAAAGCCGTGTCTCCTGCTCTCCAGGACTCGACATATCGGGACATCAGCCCAGTCTGGTAGCACTGGGAGCAAACACAGGGAGACTTCATTGGGACAGGCACATGCTGCCAATACAAACCACGTCAGCCATCAGTGTGGAGCCCTTTCTGTAGTGCTAAGCACTTTACATATGTTATCTCATTTAATCACCCTAATCATCCCACGATATTGGTACTGTCATTCCCAATTTTCAGATGAGGCCCAGAGCTTACACAGAAGGGAAACAGTGAGGCTGCAATGAAAATCCATAGACCTCCATCCAGCTTTAACTACAGAGGTCTCAAACCCAAGTAACTAATGGGCCATGCAGATAACACAACTGAGTGAAGAATGGGGTGTGAGATGATTTTTGGCAACTAATACTTGTCAGAGTGCAGTAGGAAACGGTGGGGACTGGGTAAAATGAGGAATGAATGCTCATTCTAAAGGAAGAAGCCACTTTGTAGATTCTAGTACATAGTTTGTGGGGTCGATGATGCTAAATCTGATTTTCATAGAAGTATGACATCCATATTTTTAATGTAAAATCTCTCATTTTTGAAATGTCAGCAATTAATTCAAAATTTTAAAACATTGCACAGGCCAAAACTAAATATATTCATGGGCTGGAGTCAGTTTCTAGGCCACTCATTTGTAATCCATGCATTACCCTACATTGTCTTCTGGCTAAGATGAAAAATATAAAGCTTGTGGAGGGGATTCCTCCATAGCGGGGCAGGCAGTCTACATTCCCTGGGGGCCTGCCAACTCTATGCCAAGCACCATGCTGAGGCTGCAGGAGAGACAGCTGGACCCGAAGCTCCATGAAGTTGGCCAGTGCCTGAACCATAAAAAAGACTTATGTATCTGAATGAATGAATGAATGAATGAATGAATCAGCAAATCAATCAATTAATCCAGATTCAGGCCTCCCCGTAAGGATCTCACAATCTAGGAGGGACTCACGTCTCAATCATACACACGGTAGAGACTACCTAATATTCCATGAGAAGGATAAAGTTCTGGGAGAGCCCTAAGGAGATGCAGTCTCTTTCAATGAAGTGGAATCGAGGATAGTTTCTTGGAGAAGGAATCATTTGAGCTGGACCTTGAAGTCTGGGTAAGATCAAATTCACTGGGGATGGAAGCAGGAGGTCCGAGAGGATTCTGGGCATAAGGTATGCTATGGTCAGGGGTAGGACAGCCCAGACCCTGTTCTGGAAACAGCAAGTGGACAAAATATAGTGGGGCTGAGGGGGAAGCACTAAACAACAGGATTGGAAGGAATTTGGAATGAGATTATAACCAAGCTTGAAGGAGGGATAGGGCTCTGGTCACCAGACATGCTTTTAAGCACCCACAGCTATCTCTAGCATCACCCCTGACTTCCTTGGACACCGCATATATGCATAAAGCAAGGAAAAGTCCTCAGCTTGCCTAGAAGAGGTCTGGGAGAGGGGCTACATTTTTCCCTGCTAACTTATTGGAGGCTGTGTCTCAGAGTACACCTTGTTTTCTGGCCCCAGCCTCAGGGAGAGAGAGCCCCAGCTGTAGTCTAGGGCCCTATGGCATAGGTAGCTCTCAAGGAGTAAGGAAAAATTTTTCCATGTCTCCAGCACCCACACAGAGCCTGGCTCAATATACACTTGTTAAAGAGGACTGACAGTAAACTTCTGCTCTTCTACTTGGGGGTCATATTACCCAAGGGGCCTTGGGACAATGACATCATCTCTCTGAGCTTTGGTTTCTTCACCTGTAAAATGGGGATAATATGATCTACTCTGTAGGGTGGTTATGAGAAATGAAATAATGAAAATAAAGAGGCAGGAGTAGTGCCTGGTGCCCAGAAGGTGCTTGAGAAATAGAAGTTCCTCCTTCTCATCTACATGGGAGGGTAAACCTGAGAAAAGCCCTCTGCCTTCCCAATAATACGCAAAGACAGTTCCAGCTCTTCCTAGCCAGAGGCTTAGGGATAATTAAACATCTCTCTAAAGAGAGGCTTTCTGGTAAACGAAGGAGAAAATCAGCCTTGCAGCTGGGAGAAATCCAGCTGCCCTGAAGAACTGTCTCCAGGCTTATCCTTTCAACAGAAACACACCCAGACAAGCAGCTTGGGGAAGCAGGCCATTTGGAGAGGATTTGTGGAATCTCCCAGACAAACAGTTGCGTGGAGAAGGGATCCCATCCAAGCTTATGTGTGAGGGAGTAAACACTCGGGCTCTGAAGGCAGGCAGGGAAGGCGGAGGCCACAGACAGTGCTGAGGTCTTGGAGTCAGGAGGCCAGGGCTCACCTACCGGCCACACTTCTTACGAGCTGTGGGGCCTTGGGTTATCCTGAGGCTTCAGTATGCTTATCAAAGATATGGAGATAATAATTTCTGCCCTCCATGGGAGATAAAGGATGGGAAAGCTATTCTTAAGCAATGATGTTCCCTAAGATTCCATTGGGGAAATGAGGATCTATAGTTTTATATTAGCTTAACCCATATGAAACTACTGTTTCTGTAAGTCAAAAATGTTAAAGCATCAGCAATTTCATGTTGTTTTACCTAATCATTTGTTCCACATAATTGGACCTTCATGACTTACAAATTTTGGTACCTATTCTTTGGGTCTCGGAGGTGTTTTGTTATCCAACCCACTCTGATCGCCTAATCTCTGCCAACACCCTCACCACCTTGGCCGCCTCCACAAGCACCTCTGCTCTTGCCATTCAGACTGGGTATAGTTCCCACAAGATCCTGTTCTGTTTCACCCCTCCCTGCCTTTGGTTATCCAGCCCCTCGGCCTAGAATGCCATTCCCTGCCACTGCCAATTTGTACTCCCCGCTTTAAGGCCCAACTCAAGTGCTCTGGCCCCTGCCCACCCACCCAGAAGTGACCTCAGGTTACTGTGGTCCACAAGGTCCTCCACATCCCACCTTTTCCTTGTACACCTCCTTCTTATTCAGGACAAATGATAAACAGTTCCCCAATCATGCCTCCTTCGCTGTTGTACATGTTGTTCCCAGCACTTAGAGCTTCCTTCTCACACTTCCCCCCTAGTTCTCCACTCCTTAAACACACAGCTCAAACACACATCTTCTGCTAGGAGGCCCAGCCTGCTGTCTCACACCACCAGCTACTGTAAGTTGGACTGGGATCTCCTGTCATGGTGTCTATCAAATTATATGATCCGGGACTGGTCTTCTGTCCAAAAACAGACACCACGTCTGATTTATCTGGACCCCCGTGCCCAGCACATGATAGGTGTTGGGCAGCTTGGCTCCCCTTCTCCCAGGGTCAGTGTTCGCTTCCATTGATAGGCAAGAAAACAAGAAGGAAAAACTTTATCAGTCTGAGCCTCCTTTTCATAAAATCTGTCAGGAATATGTCCTGTGTTGGTCCAGCAGCTCCCCCTTCATCAGGAAAGGAGATGGAAGAAGGCTTCCTTCACTGTCCCCACTCTTCCCTCAAGCCAGCCTCCTCCCATGTGAACACTGGCTTTTCCCACATCAGTCCCACATCAGTCCTACATCAGCTGCCTCATCCCAACCAAGATGGCATATGAAGGTTCCAGCCCACAGCATCTTAGAGCATCCAGGTCAGTCAGCTCACCTTGATTAAAACTTCAAAGTATCCTTCTGCGTTGGCAGGGCTGATAGGCGTATAGGCTCTCTGAATTTCTAAGTCATCTACTATCCCTCTGGGAAAGAGAAGCACTCAGTTAGGCAGTCAGCCAGTCACTCAACAAACCTTTATAGGTTCCTACTCTGCTAGGCTAGTGAAAGTAAAGGTGGGGTCTGGTCATCCCCAGTGGTCTTTACTGAGGGACAAACAAGTTAGAGCAGAAAAAAGGAGCACTGAGCTCCCCCCACTGCCATATGCTGGCTGTGAGACCAGGTCCCATTTTACGGAGGTCATTAATTCCTCTGCCCCTTCCGTAAAATGGGGCCAACCATCTGAGTCCCTATTGTGTGGTTCTACTGGGATTACAGATGGGAAAGTGCTTCAAAAAGGATATTGATGATGTGAGCTGTTTTTAAGACATCACTGAAGTTTTTTCCTGACTTCTTCTCAACCTCAGAATGATAAGGATAAAAACAACTTAGTTTAACAAGTGTCTAACATTTATCAAACACTACCACATGCCAGGAGCATTGGAATTGGAAGGATCCTCAAAGATGCCCTATTCAAAAACCCGACTCCATGCATGAATCCTCTCCACAATGTTGTCAATAAGGAGGCCAGGATGATCATCATGAATAATAGTAATAAGAGCCTTGTTGGCTTAAATGCCTACTACACATCGAGCATACTATATGCTTTATCTTATTTAATTCAAATAATAAGCCAAATAAGGAAACCAAGGCCTAGAAGGAAAGGCACTTGCCCAGGTCACCCATAGCTCTGTGTGACTGCAGAGCCGAGTTCCTAACCGCTATTCTTCAGTGCTTCCCCAAAGCACCTGAGCACTCCTCTCTCAAGTCCTTCAATGTGCAAAACTCTCTTCTCTGAGGTATGCAAAGATTAAAAAAAAAAAAGGCCCTATCCTAAGGCACCAAAAGCAGGGGAGCTAGACAGAAATATTCAGTAAATGCTTATGGACAAATGAGGAAATAAACAGAACATATGGCATGGCCTGAATGCAAAGAACATTGTAACATTTGCTGCAACAGAGGCAGTACTGACATGCTACGGAGGGAAAGACCACTCTCACTGGGGGAACCTCAGGAGGCTTCCTGGAGCCGGGGATTACAGGATGAGCAGGCCACTGACAGGTGAAAGTGAAGATAGGAAGGGAAGTAATTCCAGGCAGGGGACTAGCCTGGGCAAAAGCTTAGAAGTAGGATAATGT